AGTGGGCAGCCTTCTGAGCGAAGGGAGCGGCTGATAACACATTTGATCAATTTTGCTAAGTTATGCAGTAGTGAGAACTGTTTCCACACTAGTTGATAGATTTCCAATGCTGTCCAGATTTGTTGACATGGCATTAACCAGCACTTTATTTCAAAGTTGGATAATGCCCAAGTCACCTATTTTGCTCTGAGTTCTGTAACAATGATGATCCTTGCATTTGATGTAGTGTTTAATCACTTGAATGTCTCAAAAGCACTTTACAAAATTTACTGTTTTTTTGGGATCAGCTGTGTATCTGTCATCTGTGGAAACCCATCACACGCTTAAAAGTATCCAAAGCAAATTGAGAATTCCATGCATCCCACCTACAAGTGGTAATTTCAGAGATAGATTGTTGGAAAAGTTACTGTAATGTGGTGTGACTGCGTATTTGTAGGTGAACTTGGTAACCAATTTGCACAAGGCAATGTCCCAACAAAGGACCATGAAGTAAATGACCAATAGTATCTGGGGGATTGTTTGTCAGGTCACCAGGGGAAATTTCCCTTTGAGTAGTGCATGGGATCTTTAACATTCACTGGAACTGAGGCACCTCAATTTAACATCTGAAGTATGGCATCTCCAACAATGTTAATGGGGGTTTCTTGTCAGAGGTGTTATCCTTCGGATGAGACATTAAAACCGCTGTTTATGGCACATTGCTGTGTGCAAGCTAACTGCTCCATTTGCCCACAAAATTGTCAATCCACTTTACAGTATATATTCTGTGAAGTGCTTTGAGATGTCTCGACAATGTTATAAGGTGCTATATCAAATGCAAATGCAAATAATATATTTATTATTTGAACCACTGTACTGGAGTGATTCCTAGGATGCTAGACAGTCAGCAAATGCAGAAGAAATACACCCTTGGATTTGGTCCTGGTCCCTAATTTAAGTCCCTAAGTTTTTCTTCATTCTTGTCTTTTGTTACCTCATGACTAGAGTTTTCAAATCTGCTTTTCTCTCTCTTTCTCTCTTTCTTTGCCCCCCCAACTGGTGGCTAAGCATTCTGCAATTCTGGAATGCCACATTTTGTCCCCTTTGTGGGTCTAAATCCTAACTAATAACTTACCTTTTTGACCTACTCCTCTGTCTTCTCCCCTGCTCTGCGTCCGACCCTGTTTTTGTGAAGTGGTGGACGTGTCATGTGAATGGAGCTACAAAAAAAAGTTGTGGCAGTTTGCTATTGCAAGCACTCTGGCAAGCTTCCTGCTGCTTATCCAGCTAGGATCACCCTTTTTGTTTGAGATTTGGTTACAGGGTTAGCAGGTGCTGATTAGAAAGAATACTTCCCTGCTGATCTGCTTCTCAAGTCCTGCTGCTGGGCATATTGAGTGCCGTCAACTTTCTCTCACACCAAATGCTGCTGAAACCCTCATTCATGCCTTTACCTCCTGCCTGGAGTTTTCAGATCTTGCTGGTCTCATTCAAATCTATAAGATGATTCAAAATTCTGCCCACATTCTCACCCACAACAAACTCCAGATCTTGCCTGACCCAGTGATTCCCAATCTATTGACTTACGCCCTTAGCCTATAAATTCCACTACCCTGTGGATGACTAGTGCCATCATCCATAATTTTTTGTTCTGTGGGGTTTTAGTTTTTTTGGTTAATGTCGAATTTGAAGGGAGGAGAAATACTTTTTTNCCAGGTTTAAAACTCTGCCACAAACATCCCTATCTTCACCTAACCCCACATGGCCATCACTCGTTCTCTCTCAACTTGGAACCAGCTCAGTCCCGGTGGGGGAGACCCTGACTTTACACCACCACCTGTTGGAGGATAGTCACTAGATGATTATTAGACTTTTAGTTGACTTCTGGTTATTGAATGGAGTAGATTATTGGATCTAGAGCTTACATATTTTGTGGTGAACAAGTGAATGATGATCTATTAGAATTACAAATTTAAGAAATTTGTTTTGTCCAAATGAGTCAAATTAGTTGTGACGTTCTGTCAGTTTGATAGATTTACAGTTCCTCTTCCCTTGGTGTAAACACTTACGTTCCATCAAAGTTTAAACAACTATTTTGGGCTTCTGGGACCATTCACCTCTGCATTCTTGGATTCTCAGCAATTAATCTATTATGAAGGAAGCTTCAACTCTTAAGACTCCAAATACTAACCACTGGGAGTTCAACTAGGTAATTCATAAATGAATGTTAATGTGAAATTAATTGCCCTTTGGAGAAATTGATTATCGTGAATTAAATTTCTTCACATGAAATAACACATTATTGGTTGATGCTGGTTTAAAGAGTTAGTGGGATATAGGCAATCTCAGGTGGTTTACAATCATGATCTAGGTGCAGGATAGTGCAGTTGTGCAAATTATATTGCATCATGTCTGAGGCAAGTACATTTTCCTATCATTTCTTTGGAGTTGGCAATCTTGTCAACGTAAAATGAGCTCTGTAAATGGACCAAATCAGTTGCTGCATGCTCCTACAACAGAGCAATCATTTTTTTTAAAAATACTTGCGGAATAGTTAGTTAAACAGATCCTTCATGACAGCAGCTCACTGATCAAAACGGAAATTTTGATCAGTGATCTTTTGTTGAACTTTCTTTCATTGTCCCCACCCTACTATGTAGAAGTAAAGTTGGGGTGCACACTCACAACTGGAATTGTGTACTAACTGTCTTACTGGGTGAGATATTGAAGTTCCAGTGTTCAATTATCTTCTAGTCTTGCAAACTTGTGCAGTAATGATCATAAATGCCATTTCAGACACCACACTGACCTCAACTTGGATTTCTATTCAACTTCAAACCATTGCTTTACATTTCAGATTTTTTCCAGAGTGCATTGCAAACTGTAATGCATTGTTGTGAAACTAGGAAATCAGATATACGGTAGAATAGTTTGAGAAATTAAAATGCTCAAAGCTTGTAATGATTTGCATCTTGTACAACGCCTTAACCTAATTCTTTGATTGTTACACATTAAAAATATGCAATTCTTCAATTTATTACTTTGATGTCAGAAAGCAAAGATTGAATCTTGCATTTATATAACGCCCCTCATGCAGGGCAGCACCCAAAAGAGCTTGACAATGGCGGAGCACGGCACCAAGCAAGGGAGAGAGGGAAGGCCAGTCGAGCGGAGGCATTGGGTTGTGGGTTGCGGGGTAAGCAGGTCGAAGAGATAGGGAAGTTTCCAGGGCATGAAGGGAATTGAAAATGAGTGCGTGAGTCGTGAAATCGATCAGTTTGGTAATTGGGAGCCAGTGGAGCCTGGCTAGCACTGGTGTGATGGGTTACAGAGTTTAGTGTGGATGAGTATGTGGGCGGCTGCATTTTGCATCAGCTGGATCTTGTACATGGTGGAGCTGGGGAGTCTGGCGAAGAAGGTGTTTGAAAAGTTGGAAGGTGACAAATCCATGGATGAGTATTTGAGCTGCATCTCACTAGGTGATTTAACTAACTGTCATGTATGTATGAACATGAAATAGCTGAGGCATTATAGGCAAATTACACCTTTTATTGGTAGTCAGTTTCAGGCTACTGAAGACTGCTTTCTCGAACTGGGCAAGTGAAATCTATCAAGTATAATGCAGAATTATAAATACTGAGTAGCAAGGAAAAGTTAGTATTTTTTGTGAACTCTCCCGAACTATAGTGATGGCAACAGATGGGTACGAAATCTGATTAACTGGTAGTGAATGTTAATTCATGGGTGAATATCGAGCTAGATATTGTTTTGAAGTAGAATATCTACTGATCTGATTGGCTCTGCCTGGCTAGCGAGTGTCTGGTGTAGTCCAGTTCGGAGTGACAAAGTGATCCCAGGCCAAGAAGCAGCGTCTGACCCACCATAATCTCCACTGTACCAACAGTCCAGGTGGAGGTGGTTACCCATATGGAATCCAGTAGTGTTTTGGTTAGCACATTCGCTTTGCAAGCAACAGGATCTGGGTTCGATTCCCGGCTGGGGCGAAACCTCAGGCAAGTTTCCTTACTCCATAAGCCTGTTTACCTAGCAGTAAATAGGAACCTGGATGTTAGCTGATTGGTGGATCGCTTTCTGAGCCTAATAATCCCTTCCAAAAAAACTGTTTGTGACACACTGTTGTGTGTAATTGGCTGTGCATTTTGACCACAAAATACAGTTAATTCACTTTACAGTATATCCTGTGATGTGCTTTGAGACATCTTAACACTGTGATGAGGCGCAATATCAAATGCAAGTATTATTATGATCATTACTGCGCCCTTTTGGCCTGGGAGGACCTTCAGATGCCTGACTTGCCACTCCAGGTAATGAGTCACTGGGTCCCTTTACCCTCGGATGAGTTATCAGGAGTTTACTGTCGTAGTATGCTTGCTTCTTGAAGCCCAAATGGACTCTGCCTCTACCACCTTATTTGGCAGGGCATTCCACAGGCCTGGCACAAATGGGAAGGCTGGTGACTTCTAAAACACTATTTACTCCAGTCAACATTGGCTATTGCAAGAGTTTTAATAGACTAATTTAATGCTTTAATATTTGCATTTTTTTCTTTATGTTGCGTGGATATTCTCAGCTTTTAAATAATTTAGAAAGATGATAATAATAATCCTTGCATTTGATATAGCTTTTTTTACGTTTTCCTAATGTCTCAAAGTGCTTCACAGAATAGACTATAAAGTGAATTGACCGTATATTTGTGGCCGAAACAAAATAAAAATCTTGTCTGTCTGATTTTTAAGGCTTCTAAACCATTGATGAACTCAGAGCATTACTGATTGAAGCATTACTGACTGAAGCTTAACTTCCATTGTAAAAATTGGAGAATGCCATTTCTACAGGAAGTACTAATAAACAGCTGTTTATGTTGCCCCCATGAAGTTGTAACTGCTCTGAATGTTTTATAGCTGTCTGGTAAACTGTAAGTTGTAATATGATTCAAACTAATTTACATCAATCTTTCCAGCCTGAAGTTTTAATCTATTTTATGAATCTTTCTATAATAGCCTCAAGAAATAGATGTGATAACTGGAAAAGATCGTCAAGGTTTCTTCACCAATGGCTTGACCTTAGGTGGAAAGAAGTGCTCTGTTATCAGAGATAGCTTGTTTGTTGATGGCGACTGCACGATGGATATCAGGACAAAGAGCCAAGCTGGAGAACCAACATTCAACGTTGCTGTAGGCAGAGCTGGCAAAAGTAAGTTGTGAAATTTGAATTATTGTGCATTCAGATATCTAAATAGGGGCTTGTAAACTAATCAGGCTCAAAGGGCTGAATGGACTACTCCTACATGTTAATCATTTCAGTTGCCTCTCCCTTGCAAAAGGTAAAATCGTGTTAGTGGGTTTTGACAGTTCTTTGCATTTCTTACTGAATGATCTAAAATGCAGATGCTTTGGGTGTTTGCTTCCTTGTACAGGTCTAGTTGTAAATAAGGCGCTTCACTTGAAGGGTTGCTCATTGACTATTGAAGAAAATACCTGATGACTTAAACATTTTGAACAATTATGGGTTTCATCCATTTCTTTTCTGCTCTTCCAAATATGGGTAATTCAAATTGGGTGCATCACCAGTTTTCTCCCCTCAGACTTGGTGATCAATGTAATCCCTATGGAATGAGTCTACAGCCTTAAATTTCCCACTTGATGGAAACTGAGAGTGAAGTCTTAAAACTTGCCTATGTTCTCTTAAGGCAGGGTGAAAAGCATATTGGTAGTGAGGGACCTCTGAAACTCATTCTTAAACAAGATAATTAGCCAGGTTTTCTGGTCCTGGTCCCTCTATCTCTCTCTACTGGTAGTCAGTAGATGTGTGGCAGCTTAATGGAAAGTAACTCTGCAGTCAGCTTGCCTGCAAATGCTCACTGCCAAAGTTTGCATATGAACAATGGTCATTTGGGTTGGGAAATGGAGTGCAACCTGTGACTGCATCGTAGCAAGAGGTGGCTGGGGACCAGGAGCAGAAGAGTATTGCCAATGTGGAGAAATTAGAACAGTGGACATTCTAAATTTCAACCCAAATTTGAGACCTCTCTCTCTTGCTGTATATATATGTATATAATACATTTTAAAAAACTCTGCAGAATCCCTACCCTCTGTTGATTGTAATTACCATCAAGCTTAGAATTAAGTATTACTTGCTCTATAAAGTGACTTTTTCTAAAGCTGTTCAACTTGCTCTGTAATGTACCCATGCTTTTGAAGATCAGAGTCCACTTAATTGTGCCTTTAATGCTGGTATATAATTAGTTCTATTAGTTCTAAATTGATGCGATTGAATCGATTGCAGAAAAATCCTTCTTTAGTACTTCTAACTTCACGTTGTCACTTGTTTCTCAGCCTTGTGCAGTAGTAGCACTCTCGCCTCTGGAGTCTGAAGATTGTAGTTTCAAATTCCACGTTGAGACTTGGAATCAAATAGTCTAAGCTAACATTGCAGTGCTATGGGAGGTTGCATTGTTAGAGGTGCCATCCTTGAGATGAGACGTTAAACCGAGACCTCATCAAGTCTATTCAGGTGGATGGCACTGTTCGAAAAGAGAAGGCAGTTTCTCCCAGTGTCCTGGCCAACAATGCCCCAAATAAAAATGGTCACTCACTCTGTACAGTAAAACTGACATAAGTCTGATCTATATATGAATCGTATAATCGCTTGTATCGTATAATCGCTTAAGTCGTACATCTGTCCAAGTCCTGTTAAATTTCTTATTAAATCCACTTACATTTAGCTGCACCAGTTGTATTAACAACCACACAACTCGTAACGCTGCAACTGAATTTATCAGCTGCCAGTGAAAACTTAATTTCCCTCCCCTACCTCAAACTGAACACAAAATAGTCGATCCATTTTACAGTATGTCCTATGAAGTGCTTTGAGACATCTCAGTGAGGTGGTAAGGCAAGTATTATTGTTGACTGTAAAACAATCTTGCATTTGATATAGTAGTTTAATATTGAATGCCTAAAATCACTTCACAGGTAATTCTCAAGTGTAGTAACAGCTAATTTTTGCATAACAAGATCCCACAAACTACTGTGTAATGAATGACCAATTTATTTGGGAATTGTTGACCAGGTACCGTCAGAAACCTCTTTTTGAGGTTTAACTAAGATCTTTATGAGACCTTAGTTTAGCATCGCATCAGAATGATAGGGTTCCCGGGTTTCCTTTTAACTTTGCATGAAAGTCCATCTTTTCGTCTCAACCATTTAAATTGTCTAAATTCTTTTGGGCATTGTCCATCTTGCTTGCACTGGACATGTAGCTTGTGTGACCACTGAAACATATTGACAAGAGTCTCCTTTGTATCATTTATTGACTAATACTGTAATAAAGAGACCCAGAATAGAACCTACAGAATTCCAGATATTTCCTGAATAACTGTCAGTTTAGTTAACTTGCTACTAATTCTATGGGCCTTGACTTTAATAATTTGAAACTTATCAGTTGCCTTTGGAAAGCCAATTCTATGTAATGGCTAACTTGATGCATTTGCCACCTCATGGAATTTCTGTGAACCTTTAAACCATCGCCATACATTGACAAACATTTGACTGTGCTTGTGTGGTCTAATCTGGGTCTCTACCATATTTGTGAAATGTTACAAAGGAGATTGACCTTTGGCAATATTTTGGTGATCATGAAGCTACATTTCTAGTGTGATGAGCATTGATGGCAAACCATGAAATGCTATTTTAAGCACTTCATCACTGAGGATGTTCCAATTCATGTCTTCTCTTTTGACCTGGTAGGATAACTACTATATATTGGAAATACCTTTAATTGTTAACCAAGCAGCGATGGGTCAAGGCACAAGCAATCACGGGAAACATAGTTTTTACCCGTCACCGCATGCGCATTGCTTTGAATTATGCATGCACAGTGTAGATTATTGATTAAATTGGATTTTATACAGTCATTAAATGTGTTTACGGTCCTAACTAATGCGACTTATCAGAGTTTTACTGTACTCATTGCCAGCATATGGTATGAATATTATGGAAGTTATTTATGCAATTCTTCACACCTTGTATAATGTTTGCATTTACTGAATGAAATTGTAATGTTGAAAATGTTGCTGAATATGCTGACCTTGACTTGGGACATTACAGTACAAGTTGAACAATTTAGTAGCAATTGAGAATTACAAGCAATTAGGGCCCCCCCACCTGCCTCACTCGCCTTCCTTGGCAAGCTCTATTGTATGATTCATTGAGCATTGAGGATATTTGCGAGATTTAATAATCTTCCCTTTTTTTGCTCGCCAGCAAGACCACAACAGCATATAAAGGGTGGCCTTACTAAAGCATAGTTTAAGCCTGAAAGGTTGAATTTCCCTGTTAACTAGCTAATGTGGCAGCTGCTTAATGATGATTTTAGGATGCATTCTCCTATAAATTCTAATCCTGTTTTATATATTATAAAACTGTTTCTGCTATTTTAGTGAACTAATTTCACATGTTATGGCTTAACTGTTGCTGAAATTATGGTAAGGATTATATTAAAATTCTCAATGAAACCTTTTGCAATGGAGGAATGTAAAAATGTGGAATGAGAATAAAGGCTTTTGGCTCATCATGTCATTTTGTTCCACAGCTAATGCATGATTCCCCTAATTCTGGGTCAGTTAGTATCTGAGAGGAGATGTGGGTTATAAGGATAAGAGCTATTGCTATCTGAATAACCTTCAATCTTTCTAAACTGATCATGATCAAGCACAGTGTTAAAGGCGTCTTTTGACCCAAAATTGGCCTGTTCCACACTTTTGATTTACTGTGATGGGGACAAGGAGGGAGAAGGAAATTCCTTAAATTTCTAAAACTATCTTGGGTTTTTATTTACTACTTATGCTATGATTAATGATATGCTAACAGTATAAGTTAACTGCCCTCCTTACCTCAATCTTTATCTCAAATTGTCTAGTTATTCTAAAGATTCTGATGGGTGTTCTCTAACTAATACTGGTTATGGTGTGTTTTTTTAAAAAAAACTTGTGCCTTCTAAAACTTGTTTATGAATAGCTTGTTCTGCCTAACAGCAACTAATGAATCCGAGTGAATGACAATACGTGAATTTAAGACTGTGTGTGAAGGGAAGCAATAAATGAACTGATATGGCTGCCTTAGCATTTCAAGTCTTGTCTGCATGATTCAGCTAATGATGATCCAGTAACCATTCTATGCGTTTCACAACTAATAGTGCAATAGTTAATCCTGTTAATTTTAAATGTTAATTCTTCCCCTTCCACCTCTGGTTCGTGCTTCTATATTTAAATAAAGTACACTTAGTTACCTGATCTTGTTGCCAATTATATCCTATTTTAATGTTTTTCTGTTTAAATCTTTTTACTCCAACTTCACGTGTTGCCAGTCACTGGTGAGCTTTGTGCCGTATGGTATTTCTTTAACTTGCATGCTACTCAAACTTTGTTCCTTTCCTTTCTTTCAGTCTTGATCTTTGTAATGGGAAAAGAAGGGGTCCATGGAGGCGGATTGAATAAGAAGGCATTCACAATGGCAAAATACTTGAGAGACTCTGGGTTCTAGTTGACAGGCAGGCTTGCTATTATTCAGTAGTTTAAAAGAATTGCTATTAAAGTTTCCTTTTAGCAGTCATCTACTCTTTCACATTGAAGTTCTGGAAAGTTTAATAGCAATGCAGGGTTCTGGGGGTATTGAACCTATGTCTCCTTTGTATCCCTGTATTGTTTTTACATTTTTGTTCATTTTTTTTGTTTCTTTTGTGTACTCCAGCATTGGTTATAGTCATGGGAAAGAATTCTGTCCATGGAGGGCAACTCAACAAGAAAATATATGAAATGATTGGACACCTGAAGGGAGCTGGATTCTAAGCAGCCTTTCCTCATTCACCTAGCAACTCATTCTCCTCACCACCTCCTTCACCACCCCACTCAGTTGCATTGGTAGTTTCTTTTTTTTTAATTTATCCATTTCTGATGTTGTTGATCCCTTGTCCTTGATCACGTAATTGTAATAACCTTGTATGTGTAATGGAAAGTAAATCCCATTTTCTGGCACCATTAGCACAATAACTAAATTGTGATATGCATGTTACTTGATATTGTTGCAAAAAAATTTGGGCTGATTTGCTACATTTTGGGCATTGCTTTATTTTAGCATTTAGACATTGCCATCTGAAGTCACCAAACCAGGTCCTGAGTTTATTCTCTTTTTCTCTCCCTCTTTCTCCCCTCAAATAAAAGGTGCCGGTAGTACAATCTCAAATTTAAGTGATGCTGAGTCAGCAATTTGAGCAGTAAGATAGCTCATCTAGTCTTCCTTCTTTTTCTTGCATGCCTGGGAGGGAAAGGGCATGCATATCATTCTTCTGTTCCAACTTACCTCTCTGGACACTTTCCCTTTTTTTCTTTTTCCCTTCTTTCCACCCCCTCCACCTGCCCCCTCCCACCCCCCCCAATCTACTTCATTGCCCATTCATTCCTTAAGCAACTCCTGGCTTTCTCTTTGTTTAATATGTTTACATTTCCTGAGTTGCAGGCACCTTGAAGCAGTTTTGTAGTTGCATTCTTTTAATTTGATCTTGGATTTCAACTGCTCGAGTCAAACTTTATACATCCTGACTTGAGTGAGTACAATTACAAAACCGTTCAGAGTGCAGACCTTTCTCCCGTGACCTTGCTACAATTTTGACTGGTCAGTTTAATCTCCAGGGACATTCCATCCTTGCAATAGCTCAGGCACTTAAATGTTGTTTTGCCAGCTCCTTTAGCATATTTAACTTTTTAATAAAGGCTGCCATTTTGGACAACAGATATCCCAACATAACCATCTGGAGTGTGTCCAGTTTTGAGTGCTTCATAGGACCAATTAAGATGCAGCTTGGGTTTTGTAAGACTACAGACTATGTAAAATGCCATTGTAAAGGACCACTGCCAACCTTCAAATCTGTACTGGCAGTTTAGGTGTAGATCTTATGAAAACGTGTCCAGCAGAATGTTGGTAAGAGTGTTACAAGTTCTTTTGTCAGTATTTGATGTGGGTTGGCAGTCTCCTACATTTAAATTCAAATTGCAAACTGTTCAAAATTCTCAAATGAAGACAATTACGCATTAGATTTGGTAAGCCCATGCTGCAGGAGGAAAACTGTTGAAGAATTTGCCTTGCGCTCTATTCATCTTGAAATCTGTGGAAATGTCTGTTTTGAGCACAGCACTAACTTGTGTCCAATTCAAACAAATTACAAAATTCTGTATTCACAAATGAATAAAATGGGAGATGGTATTGGTTGGAATAATCACACTTGGCTGTCTTGTGAAATTATTTTGCAAATGTTTGTGTATCCTGTGCCATATTACATAGAGATTTGATCTGTTGCTGTTGTGAGATGGATTTTAACTGCTGCTGCAAGGCTTTCAGTTGAACAGTGCTTCCCTTATGGGTGTTAATTCTAGCAGAAGCTTGATATGTTCAAGCCTTGTGGAATATGTACAGATTTAAAAATTCTTGTTGCTAATTTCTGTCCACTTTCTTTCCCTGCACTTTTGTTACATCTGGGATACAGTCAAACTCATCTGATTTAATATGCATTTACAGAATGCCATAACTGTTAAAACACCTTGTTTACAGACAGACAGATGAAATAAATTTATTCCAACCATAACATATTACCTGTGTTTTTTTGTATTCTAGGGAAAGAAATCACTTGTTTTCAAAGAGAAGTCAATTTTCAATGTATAAACTTGGAGAATTGGGCTGCCGTAGTGTGTTAAAGTGTCAGTTTGATCTTCCAGTTTGCCAGCGTAAAGGACTCATTACTGAAGCTAGTTTTTTAAAAAGTGCCCAAATTAAACTCAAATCTACTTTATTTGAATTTTCCAGGAATCTTTTGTGCTGTCAACCTCGCATAACTCAGGATTTTATTGATGGATAAATGCAATCAAACTTTTCCTTTGTCTATTTCAAAGCAGCTTCAAGACATTAACTAATTGCTTCTTTAGTTGCAATTTTGTACAGGTCAGTCGTGTTTGTAAACCACTCCTAGGGAAGAATATGGGAAATAACTTAATGCACTGGAAGTCTTAAAGCTGCTCTGGAAAAACTAATTTACCTCTGATCTTGTGTTCCTCAAAGGGGATGCTGATGGAGGACATATACTTGGTGGTGTTGAGCTGAATATTTGGGGGAGGTCAGTTTTGTGAGTGGTAGTGATAGGCATAAACACACATATATTGCTCTGGGCAGTATTATTGACTTGAAGCTTTGCCTTGGTTTAATACTAGTGGGTTTCATGTAACCAAAACCAAGGATCTCCCTGCCCCTGTCAGCACCTTCTTAGTACAGGCACTGACATCAACTTGGATGGTTGTACACTCCACCTAGGGCAGCCAGTGTGTGGAACCTTGTTATCTTTGACTTCCAACTGTCCTTCAAATCCCAATCTCTGCTGTTAGCGCTCAGCTTCTGCTCACCTCTGCCACTACCTCCTCCCACCCCCTGCTGACATGCTTGTCCACCCTTGACCATGCTAATGCCATCCTTGCAGGCTCTTCCAGTGGGTTGTAGATTATCCAGAACTCTGCAGCTTGTGCCATCTTCTTCACCAGGCTCTTCATTCTTACTACACCTTGTAAGCTTGTACCAGTATGCAAACCTCCTATTAAGACTATTTTGATATTAAGATGTTTCAATCCCCTGTAGTTTATGTATACAGGCCAGAGTTCCTTTCTGATTTGGGTGTTTTTTTTTACCCATTGGCAATGCAGTTGTGGATGTGTTCAACTTTATCTAGCTCAGTCTTTGTACCAGTTAGTTTCTACTTTGGTCCAGATATTGGAAAATTTGATTGCAGAATCAGTTTCCAAGCCCTGTAATTATCTGACCATGGATGTTTGTCCACATACCGGGTGCAGTGTAAAATGTAGTTATCTGCCCAAATTAAATGAGACTATTGCTATTTGGAGAAAATTAGGTGATAAAGTAGTGTTGGGAATGTGAGTACTTATCTGTGCCCAAGTTGGTAGGCATCAGCACAGGAAATTTCCATAATACATTTAGCCAACCATTCCCCGGCAATGCTGTGTACATTGACACCAGAAATCTCAATTCCTACTGGTTTGTAATGTACAAATTACGCACACACTTGTACACACTACAAATACCAAATGAGCTGCCTGTATTTTTATGCGAATGAATGAGCCTTAGCCTTGCACTGGATTGACACTGCTGTCCATTAAATATCAGTCCCTCATTTTGTTGGGTTTTGAACAAAGCTTGCAGCAGACTATTTGGCAGATTTACAGTATTAAGTTTTGTCTCCTTTTTGCTGCTGGTAGTGGGAAAGGGATTGTGAATCACCTTGCTTAGCTCCTGCTGCTTTCTGCCCAATTCTTCACAATTACCTGTGAGGGTACGATTTGGACAGGCAGAGCAAAGTCTGAGCATTACATTCACCTATATTGCAGGAGGCCAGGTTGGTGCACTATTTTGAAAGATTTGGATCAAGTGAAGGCAGTTGAGATCCAAAATGGGGGGGTGAGGCGGTTGAACAGAATTTAAGCATAAGTGCATGAGAGATTTTAAATAAGACTTGAAATTCAAAACAATTTTTGTGCAGTGTATACAAAAAAATAATTCAGATTGAAAAATTGGTTGAAGGAGTGAGTCATGTTTTCCTCCCCCCCCCCCCCCCCCCCCCGGGGAATTCACATTGGTGCTTTCCTGGAGAACTAAATATGTGCATCAGCTGGCTCCGGTAGTATCACGCCCCCAGCTCAGGCTAACATTGAATGCCCAATAGGCTGACTCTCCAAGGCAGTGGTGTGTGTTATTGTTGGAGGCGTTGAATGAGATTTTAAACTAAGGCCTGTCTGTCTGTTCAGGTGCACATTAGAGATCCCACAGCACTTTCAAAAAGAGAAGGGAGTTTCTCCTTGTTACCTGGCCAACATCCACCCAAATATTTCATCAATTTGTGGCTGTTTTTGAAACATTGGAAATTGGCTGCTATGTTTGCCTACAAATAGTCACCCCACTTTATAGTAATAACCTATGAAGTGCTTTGAAATGTCCACCTAACATGAAAGGTGCTGCATCAACTAAGAATCAGTATTGTTTCTTTACAGACAAGGGACATGGGTAATTGAAGACCTAAACATTTAAGACAGCTCTGTTTTGGTTGTTGCAAAACATTAACTGATGTCTTATTGATCTTTAAATCTTTTTATGATAACTGAGTCCTCTGCATATTCTCAACAGCTAATGCGGTCAAGGGTAAGTGCTTTGAATGGAAGCTTCATTCTGAGTTCTGAATGTGAGTATCTTAGAGCTCAAAGGTCAGCTTGTGTGTTCTTGGAAACTACCTGGCCTCACTAAAAAGGGTAAGTAGAATGTTTCTTGCTGTGTATTCCCCCACTGCAGGCTTCAAATAATTCATGAAGGGAAATAGTATTTTGCTTAAAGCGTTAACAATGTCCTACAAAGTTTGTAGTTTGTCATAACAGCACAAACTGATTTATCTAATCTGTATGTTGCTGAACTGAACCACAGAAATTTCCAAAAAAACGAGTCCCGACTATAGTGCAGTGTAGGACTAAAACACGGCAAGCAAGTGATTTGAAAAGTGCTTTATTATTCTGTGAAAATACCACATCAAATTAAATCATTCTTCAAATTTACATAACCTTAAAAAAACTAGTATAGAACTTAATACATGTGTTCATTTGTATTGTAGCTTTAGTGCTGTTATCTATATGCAAGCCTATTTGTACATTTAGATAACATTAGACAAGGAAATAAAGGTCAGCAGCCTGGGTGCTCTGAATTTTTTTTAGTAGATGTGCAGATGTATTTATTGTGGAATTTTTGAGGATTATTGATAGAGGTTCCATAGTCCCCCACCACTTTACAGGGTACATAATGTATAATTTGTATGGGTGGAGGGCAGTAAGGATGTGAATCATGAGGGATTTAATATTTTGATTACATTAATTGCATTTAAATTAAGTTGTAGAAATACAAAAAAATCAATTGACATGTTAACTGCTGTTTAATTAGCAGCATACCAATATTGCACAATGAATGGAAAGAGCAGTGTAAGATACCTCTCTATACTTTGGGCATATTTCTTGGAAGATGTGCTGCTCTACATTCCTGCATCCTTAATTCTCCTTCCCACTAAGTGATGGCTCCAACTTTCTCTTGGAGGTAATTTACCTCCATATTAAACAACTGAAGGATGAAGTTGTTGGGAGTGTTTTGCACATCTCTCAAAACCAGGCTTTTGTTGAAGGCTTTGACTAGGATCGATTACCCAGACAATACTGTATTATTGTTTTGGATACTTGTTGATTCTAAATTTTCAATCACTCCAATTTGAATCCAAAGCTTTTGTAGACTGTTTTGAGTTGATTCTGGCATTCATAAATAAACCAACCTTTTGTTTTTCTTTTACTGCCAAGTGTTTTCTTGTGATTGAAATGAGCATAATTTAGTGGCGTTTGGAGACCAAAAAGAACTTACACACTTGACAGTTTTTTTTCCTACAGTTAAGAGGCAAAAGTAAAAGGCAGAAAAAAAAGGATGGAAGATGCCAGAAAGCATTTTGTCCCCTAACCATCTCAAAATGGCAAACCACACATCTGTAAGAGTCCATGCATCTGAAACACGTCAATTTATGGATACTTAAAAGAAACTCCAATTAGCTACATACATCTGTATTAAAAAAATGTGAATCCAAAAAGTACTGTGGTGTTGCGATTATTATTAGAAGTTTAAGAACAAGGTATTGTTCATTCATATGTACATTGCAGTAATTGTACTGTCAAAGGGTATGCTTTCCAAAGGACAATTGCAGAAACATAGTTTGAGGGAATGGAATAAAACAGTCAGTTCCTTTTTTCTCTCTCCCCCCCCCCGCCCCCAACTAAGTTGCGTTTGGTTTTCTTTAACATTTTCTTCCCTCTCTGAAAATTACTAACTCAATATGGGCTCATTCTTCATCTCCAAAGCCAGATCATGAATGATGTGTAACAACCCAACGACTGGGGTGAGGAGGGGAGAAATGACTGTAATGTGATCGTGATCACTCCTAACATTCACACAAGTGCACTTTCTTGCAGCAGTAACCCTGGCTGTTTTCCTTCCTAGCCCCAAACTATTATGGCACTTATGTCAACCTAATTTTCAGTTTGAATGCATGTAAGCATTTTCTTTTTTGCAAAATAAATTGAGTGGAAATTTGAAACCAGTATCTAAAATTAGTTACCACAGTTGATAATGTGACAGACACATGCACTTTGTGTTTTCACTTGTCAATTTTTAACATAAAGCAAATTTGTTATTCTAGTCAGCACAACTGACTTGATAATTGCAGCATTAAAACATTAAGTCTTCAATATTTTTTACAAATTAGCATTTACTGGATGCTTTTGGGGAAAAACAAAATTTGAAATTAACCATGTTTAGCACTTGTACATACAAAGTAAGTAACTTGCCTTTTTACTGTATTTCAAATTTCCATTTATCCCAGTTGGTCAATGTAGGTAATGTCAACTTAAACACAAAAAAATCAGGTACACAATAAAGTAACTTAAAATCCGTAAGGTTACCTGGGATTTGCGCTCCTTCAATCACAAAATGAACAAATATTCAATATGCTTCATGAATGGGATCCTCCTGGGGGGGATGGAAGACATATCCAAGTCCAGTCAACATGATTGAAACATTTTACAAAGAAATATTGCCATTATTCAGGCATCTTTATATTGACAAGCCTTTAAAAGTCACTCAATTATGTTTAAGTGGTGCAATCTGACTACCAGTCTTTGGCAATCTTTGCAAGTTTCACAACATTGAAAGCTGATGTTACAGCAACAGTGGCAAAAAAAATGACAATTCAGGGAAAACAGCACTTGTTTTAGGCATCGAGCTTGCTTTTGGCTGCCCAAACCCATGGGCAGGAGCTGCAATCCACCGAGGAGCCATATATATTATATAACAGCTGCACTTCATTATTTCTAGCAACAACATGAGCTAAGGACTCGGGGATTTTACAATTCCTAGAAAACTTGCATGTTTTGACTAGTTGCAATTAATGAACTGGAAAAGCAATTGGAAAAATTTCCTGAAGTTTAATTTTGACAACTGCTTTAAGGTATGCAGATTTTGTTTTTTTTAAAAAAACCTAAATCGTCAAACTATTGCAGATGTATCTCTGGCTCTTTCGTCATTGGCTGCTTCATTGTTTTCTTGCTGCATCTGAACAACTATTGCTTCATTATTGACTCTCTCATCATCATCACTGCTGTCTTCATCTTCGTACTCAGAAGACTCCATTGCTTCCTGGTGAGACTGAGATTCTGACATGGTACCAAATGAATGACCACTGGTAGATGCTAGAGATCTCAGCAAAGGCGTGTTTTCCGAAACTTCATCGTTTTCCTCGTGGCTGCTGTCTGCATCATCAGTGTCTGAATCAGATTCTCCCTGAGAAGCCACCACCTTCTGCTTACAAACAGGACAGGTCTTCTTTGTCCTGGTGAGCCACGGATCCACACATTTGCTATGATATGCTGAGTGTGTGAATGGGAGGAAACAACAATGATTTGGTTAAACTTGGAGATTCAAGCTTTACCTTTCCAAAAAGTCTTTGAAATTTAAAAGGGTGACTTTATTTAAATTTTTAGAAGATGAAGCCTAGAACAATTGGAATTCTGTTTGCAATCCATTTCAAATGGATTACAAAGATTGAAAAAGTGGTATGTATAGTAAATTATCCTTATTACTAGGTTACAGTGGAGAAGCAAGCACCAGCACATGCTAGAACTATGATCCTACAATGCTGAGAATGATGCTTGAAAGGCTAATTGGAACTTAAAATAATAGTCGCTTCCTCGCCTGAAAGAACAATTTATAACTAAATCTGGTAACACATCCAAAAACTACACACATTTCAGCCATGGCTAATAATGTTAGACCATGATCTGCTTTCTTGTCAAGGGGCAGAGATTGTGTATAGATGTATACACATACAGAGACATTCAGTCAGTTCCCTTTATGTTGTATTATATTTTCTAAGAATTCCTTTCAGCTCCTAAATTCTAAACATGGATCATCTTGAACACATGCTTCTGAGCTCAACATCTCTTGTGCTCTGCTAGGAAGGCAGCATAAGAATTTTACAATCTCAATTTTCTCATGTAACCTGGAACTCATCAGAGAAAAGGAAACTACAAGGGAATCTGTTTGGTTCACTCTTGCTTCATACGAGTGGAGTATTTGCTTACCGTGTGAGCAGGGCAGGACTCGAAGCTTGTCACCTTCTTCATATTCATCCAGGCAAATTGCACACACCTCATATTCATCACCTAAAGCAACCCAAAGAAACCTTTACATATCATTGCTCTCGAGAAGTCCCCTAAACATTAAATACTGCACCATTTATCATCAAAAACAAAACCAATAACGATAGGCCTACATGATTTATTTAACATAACAGGGTCAAGTTCTATGAAGGTCTCTGTCTCACTGTAAAAAGAACCAGACAGTGTTACTGACGTTTATCTGGGACTGGACATGCCTTCCTCAACTTCAGTAGAACAAAAGGACCACTTTGGAAATAGGGTGTGTGGCTAAATTAAAAAGGATAGATGCCAGTGGGTAGGTTTTTCCTAACAACGGACACATTTTAAATTATATGTGGTTCTTCACCATTTCAAGTCCACCTCCATTTGTTAGGCTCCACAAAAAAGAAGTGGATGTGTAATAAGTAGATTTGGAGGTGACGCAGCCTTAGGACCCAAACCTACCATTTTACAAAGTCTTTCAAATTGCTCAAAGCCAAAGAGAACGATATTCACGCGCACACAATGTGAACAACACTTGCTGATTTCATGAAAGATCACATAAGAATTTCAAACATTGCTTGAAATGCCATGTTTGTCTGTGGGTACAGCTACTGACTTCCGTTCAGTATTGTGCTCACCAGGACAGTAAAAATTCAAGACAAAGCAATGTCACTGGAGATAACTGGTGCTGGAGCGCTGCTGCGAAGGTCATCTTGAGAGAAAGTATCAGCAACACAACAGGAGCAAATCCTTCCCAGTTCCCATCCAAAATAGCTCCTTAATGTTCTTGAGCTATTCATTGGACTTTCTGCAGTTGGAATTAGAGCTGTCCCAAGAACTTTCAAGGTCCATGTTTCAATATTAGGGTCGGACACACAACTCAATCCTAATAAGTTTACAAACAATTGAGTTACTACCATAGTTTACCAAATTGGATATTTTTAAACAGCCGTTACCAATATGAATGGAAAGCCTGCAGGATAAGTTAGGCATTGGTTCTTGGATCCAAAGAATAAAAGGATGCAATCTAACACTTGGACGTTCTCCTGACGTAAAAGGCGCTAATCGCATTATATAACTGACAGCAAAGCCATGTTCCTCCTGGTAGTTTAGCAATGTAGCAGGAGCCTGAATAGGCCTGTCTGCTCCAATAGTTTTGAATCGGGGCAGATTTCTGCCCTTAAATCCAAATTATTTCCCGTCACCAAGCCAATGCAACAATCTAGAAAAGTTCAACAAAATGAACTTTTTTTAACTATTAGATTAATCTGCAACTCACACAGGCATAACACCGAGATACGTGAAGAGCATATTCCCTTTGCTGTTGTTCCCATATATAATGCATGATTGGTGATGATGCACTGTTAAATTCATGGCAAATATTCATTACAAATGTAACATCAGATCAGCTAAGTAGCAATGAGCCTAGGGGTGACTCATTCCGACCCTCAAATATATATGACCATTTAAGCTTCTACGAATGACAGGTCATTGAGAATTTACGTTGCAAATAGTGAGGGTACAGCAATTTCACATCTGTACTCTATTGTAGGAAGCACAAGAGATTGGAAACATTTGGATCAAATCCTGAATTTCTATAGGAGCACTTTATGTATTGCTCTTATCATTAATGCATTTCATCAGCAACACATTCAATTTGCTGCAGACATTGTAGTGCTATCCTTTGCCAACTTCAACAGGATTTGACAATGCTCCACGGTAAGGGAAATCAAATACAACATTCCCAGCTGAACTGGCTTCTCTTCTTGTATTAAATCCTGAGGATCTGTAAGTACTCAGCAAGTCAATGATCACAGTTTGTGGTCACTTGATATAGATATGAAGAAAGACTCATGCAACATCAAATGTCATATCCAATGTCAGATTCAAATTAATATTACAAGTCACTAGATCAAAGGCAGGTTTAGATGAAGAAGGCTCTTCAGTCCATTTAATCTCTTCCTTCCAGAATACCACCCACCATCACCATGCTCCCATTACAGCATTAACGGGGTGTCCTGGCTTCAACCATCTTCGTAGGAAATTTGAAGTGTGATAATCATAATTGATACCACAACATACCTGTAGGATGTGATGGATACAAAGCAATGTTTATAGGGGGTCCATTTCATCTTTGTGATCGGTCTGTTGTTCTGGGTGGAACCTTTCACCACCACCCACCCCCAGCATCATGGTGACACAATGAGAGGAATGAAATGTTCCCATTTAAATTAGTTGTAAGCTTTTCTTTTTGTAGTTTTAGTATCGCAGTGCTAAAACGACAATAATATTAGTGTTTAATTTAGAATTGTATTAGGTGGATTAACCATCTCGGGGTGCGTGACATTTTCTGGGATAGATAAGGATTTACAAATTGAAAGGGGTCATGAAGATGCAAGTTCCAAAGAGCCCGGGTGGCCATGCCTCCAACTAGGACTAAACCTTCAATCAGACATTAGTGTCAATCTATAAATGACAGATCTTTTGAGGAGATTTTTCACACACAAGAGAAAATGCCAAACAACAACTTGCACTTATATAGCTGCCTCCACCGAGGGTAGCGTCTCAGATCGCTTAACAGTGGCGGAGTCTGATTCTGAGCTGGGGGAAGGGCGGAGGTGGCCGTAAGCACGGTCGAAGAGGAAAGTTTTCAGGCGGGACTTGAAAGAGGGGAGAGAAAGGGCAAAGCGGAGGGATTGAGGGAGAGTGTTCCAGAATTTTGGGGCGCAGTGGCTGAAAGCACGACCTCCGATGGTGGAGCGGAGGATTGCGAGGGACAAGCAGGAAGGCGGAGCCCGTTGAGCGGAGGTGCCAGATAGTGGATTGGGGAATAAGGAGGTCAGAGAGGTAGGGAGGTGCCAGGGAGTGAATGGATTCGAACATGAATGAATGTTTCAAACAATGAAATAAAGGGATCAAATGAGTCAGAAGTAGATTAGTTGTGTGTGACTTTATAAACAACAATGGGTATGGTAGAATAAGTGGGCAATAGGGAACTGAACTAAGACAGTTCACTAAGCCTTACATATGCACTATAGGAAATACCAGATCCATCTTATGACTCAGTAATGAAACGGGTATAGCAGAAAAAAGGCTCAAATGACAATTGATAGTTGCTACGAAATAGCATTGGAACCTTCCTATTTCAGAAGATAATTACATTACTGCACCACAACACTGAAAAATACACAAATGCACAGGAGTTAACAATTGTTAGATTGAGGAGCACGAACAAATTCCACTCCATTCCCTGCCCCCACATCGCCAAACATGGATGCTCTTTGAGGTTGGGGTTAAGACAGAGTGCTGAGATGAAGTGGAGGAAGCTATAACCAGCATATGTTCTCCTGACCTAGGAGTGCTCAATGATCAGGAAGAGCCTGGGGACCTCGTCTTCAAGAATGTACTTTAAAAATCATTCACTTGTCCTAAATTTAATTGCTTTGGCTTCAAGTAATGTTAATAGATGATGTAGTCAGCTTTGCCTTGGGCAGAACGTGAGGACACAGATTTAAATTGAAGCAGCCTCACACAAGACTCGAGACTAAAAGATTTCATCGCTTGGAGCAAAGAAAAGAATATAAGAAACAAGGAGTTCATGTTTGGAAATTCCTTCAAAAAGGAGCTAAATAAAATTATGTTTGGGAATGGGGCAGAGCGTTAAAGGAGAGGTCAAAGACAAATGGTCAAAACTCAACACAATATAATGATTCTGGGTGGAAGACAAACAGCTATAAGGTTCACATGAAAGTGGAAGAGAAACAGTGCGGAAACGGGTCAATGTGGAATATCGAGATTAAATAGGTGAGAAGGAATCGTGCGGTCTGGCTCTTTGGGATTTTGGAAAACGTCCCAAATTCTCCGGGAATGACTCCTGATTTTTTTTAAAAAAAAGGCCTTACTTGTTACACACTTCTTAACTTGACTGCCATCGGGGCCCCTTTTAAGTGAGCCATCACTTGGGAATGTGGCAGAGAAGCAACATTTTTCAGCCGTGGGTACTGAAGACATCAGGGAAGGAGCCTTGAGCCTGAACACGACGTATCCAAATGAATAAAGTTGTTGCTCTTAATCTGAGCTTCAGCGATAATCATCAATCTAAAAATTCTTTTAAAGGCAATTATATATATGCTTGCCAAAGAGTATTATGAAAGGGAGTGGAGAGCGAGCAGGAGAACAGCATTGGATTAAGTGGCTCTGTGGAGAGAAGCACCTATAACAATCTGTGATTTTTTGCATACATAGAACAATTAAGTACAAGTAATAATTATTCTCTCCAAGGAGATCTAGCCAAATTTTTACAAACATATGTAAGAACGCTGCTTACATTTCAGAGAATTAAACTACGAGGATCAGATGACATCAGAAACCAAGCAGCTCAAGTAGTTTGCGTGAGTCAAGTAGAATGTGGTTGATTATTATCTTAAATCCACAAAGGCATTGTGCCAGGGAATAGTTCTTCCTTTTTAAAGCCTTTTTGTTGCAAAAGAAAGAATGCTGTGGAACTGAGCTGCATTTCCGGTGGCTACAAAGACATTTGCCAAATAACACGATGAAGAAGCATCAGTGTGGAGATGTAGCAAATGCTTTCCTGTCTTGTTTCTTGTGAATTAATTCCCTTTCATTTGTTTACACTGGAGGAGAAAGGCCTCAGGATAGTTGTTTGTTAAAGACTAATATTTATTACAATTGTATTCTTGAATAAATCTGCCAGGAATAAAACCCAATTTCCCCACTCCTCACATGTAGAACCCAGTGACAGCAGTTTAAGTGATTTGAGGGGACTTCAGAGCTGAACTGTCACTGTTCAGGGAGGGGTGTGACGGGGAAGGAAATCATTAAGCAGAACTCCTGCTGGGAAGTGCGAGCGTGCAGACACCAGGAAAGTTCTGGGTTGGTCTTGGCTGTTGCCCCCCCAATCCATATTTCATTCTAAATACTTGAACTAACCATTCATTGCATTGTGCTGAGCCAAAGAGGCATTGTCTGTTCCAGTCTCCGCCAACCGCCCCCCCCCACCA